AAAGATATATATATATATATATATATATATATATATATATATATATATATATATATATGTATGATTTTTCAATTATTATTTTTAAGTTAAGGACATGAACTGAAAGTTGAGCAAGTATTATATGAACGACATTTTTCTCATTAACTCATTGCCTTAAACGATGTGAATATACACATATATCTGAGCTTAACATAACTGCGATTATTTGTACACGGGCAGGTGGTAATTTTAATAAGTGCGTGTTAATTAAAAAGTTTACCTCGCTGTCGGAAATTACATAATGTTTAATGCATGCGTATGCGATGAAGAAGCAACCACAGCACGGAGAAGTCGGAAAAATCACATATTCAATTTACAACAGTTCGGACTCTGTGTGTGTGTGTGTGTGTGAGCTTACTTTTGACCCCGGGTGTCAGCTGTACAAACAGCCCTTAAATGTCAAGCTAATTAGCGCAGGGTACAAATTATTTGTAATTAATAATGACAAGAGATGAAATGAGCGCTAAAAGCTTTATATTAATACAGCACAAAGTCAATAATTAAACATTAAATAATATAAATGCGCGTGCAATAATATTATTTAATTGTGTTTAAAGAGCAGTACGAGCAACAGTAATTATTACATTTCATTAATTAAAGATGCAATTAGATAGCTTTGCGTGCACCTTTATCATCTCTGATTACGCTTCCCTTCTTTTGCCATCCTTTTATCCTGCAAGGATGCAGTTCGCACGACACACATTTTGCAGCCAGCTTGTTTCAATTATCTGGCAACTAAACTAAGGCACGCACAACTCTGTGGGTGTGTCGGTATGTGTGTGTGTGTGTGCGTGAGTGTGTGTGTGCGTGAGTGTGTGTGTGTGTGGGCTTGTCAATGAACATTGAGTAACTTTTGATTGTAACTCTGAAGCACGTTAGCATTTGATAGTCAAGAGGACAACAAGCTACAAGATACCCTATAGATGTTGCATATATTATATAGAATGGCCTTATATACATGTGCAAGTAATATGTGTGTAATATTTGCAAAGAGATCTTCAGAAAAAATCAAATGAATCCCATTGCAAGCTACC